TCCACTCTTTCCTTTGTCTCTCCCACTAGTGTCCACACCCCCGACAAGACCTGTTTTGCCTTTCTATCATTTAGTTTTTAGTGTATGTTATGTTCCAAGGGGTTTCATTTTACATATATGTATACATTAATTGGCTTGATCCTCCTCTCACTTTCCACATCCCCAGTTCCCTCTATTATTCAATAGCTTTTAGTGAGTTTTATTTTGCTATCCTCATTTACAGATGCAATGGATTTTGGTACTGGTCACCTTCTAACGTTCTCTCCCCTCTACCAGTCTGCTCAAACAATCCCACAATTAAAAACATGTTCTCTCTCTGCATGTATATATGATCCTCTTTGTGTTTTTTATATATGTTTTTATTGTAAAAATACTTTACAGAGGGGTTACGATTACATGAGTTAGGTAATGAGTACATTTCCTATCCAGCATTGTTACCTCCTCCTTTGTTTTTCCGCTACCATCCCTTCCCTCCCCACCTTCCTACCTCCTCCCCAAAATTGTAAAGTCCGTTTTCAACATAGTGTCTTGTACATCTCATTGTTACAATGGGTGAACCTGTATCCTTATTTCAGCATTTTGTTATTTCCTTTCCCCTCCCCAAATTAGAGAAGTATATATACAAGATACAGGGCACTGATATCAAATACAGTGAAAACAGGGGTTATACTGTGGGAGAAGAACATACAAAAGAAACAAAAAAAATCACATGGTACATTATAAATACGTTAGAAACAATAGCAAGAAAGAAGAAAAACAGTTGTGTCCCTATCTTGGGGTTCATTTCACTTAACATCATCTTATCTGGTCATATGTACATAGCCTTTGACCTTTCCTGCTTGTCCTACACATATACTAGTTGTTGCCAACAAGGGAAACCATGGGGCCTCTGTTTCTTTGGGCCTGGCTTACTTCACTTAATATAATTTTTTCCAAGTCTTTCCATTTTCCTAACAAATGGGGTAATGTCATTCTTTCTGATGGAGGCATAGAATTCGTGTGTGTGTGTGTGTGTGTGTGTGTGTACATACCACATTTTCTTGATCCGTTCATCTACTGAAGGGCGTCTGGGTTGGTTGCATATCTTAGCTATGGTAAATAATGCTGCAATAAACATAGTTGTGCTGATAGCTTTAGTATGGTCTTGTTTGTGATCATTTGGGTAAATGCCCAAAAGTGGAATTGCTGGGTCATAGAGGAGCTCTATGTGGAGTCTTTTGAGGAGCCTCCATACTGCTTTGCAAAGTGGTTGAACAAGTTTACACTCCCACCAACAATGCAGTAAGATTCCCTTCTGTCCACATCCCCTCCAGCATCTGTTGTTATTAGAGTTCTAATTCTGGTTTGATTTGCATTTCTTTTATGGCTAGAGAGATTGAGCATTTCTTCATGTGTCTATTGGCCATTCTTATTTCCTCTTCAGAGAAATTTCTCTTTAAGTCTTTAGCCCACTTATTTATCAGGCAATTGTTTTTTTGAGGATTTGTTGTTGGGGGATTTAATTTTTTAAGTTCTAAGTATAGTTTAGATATGCAACTCTTGTCCATTGTATGGCTAGTGAAGATCTTCTCCCAATCCTTGGGCTTTCTATTGATCTTGCTAGCTATGTCCTTTCCCATTACAGAAGCTCTGCAGTTTAGTGCAATCCCATTTGTCCAACCTTTCTTTGATTTGTTGTGTTTCTGGGTCTTTATTAAGAAAATTTTGGCCTGTGCCAAGGAGCCCTATAGTTTCTCCTATTCCTTCCTGTAATGTTTTCAGGGTGTCTGCTTTGACTTCAAGCTCTTTGGTCAATTTGGAGTTGATTCTGGTGCAGGGTGATATATAAGGATCTAGCTTTAGTTTTCTACAGGTGTTTAATCAATTTTGCCAGCACCATTTACTGAAGAGGCTGCATTTCTTCCATTCTATTTTTTTTAGCTCCCGATTAGGTGGCTATAGGTCTGTGGGTTCATTTCTGGTCTTCAGTTCTATTCCATTGGTCCTCAGGTCTGTTCTTGTGCCAGTACCAAGCTGTTTTGATTACTATGGCTTTATAGTAGAATTTGAAATTTTGGTATTGATATCTCTTTGTGTTTTTACACACACACTTATCTTTTAGGTCTAGTATCCACATATAAGAGAAAACGTGACCTTTTCCTTCTGAATCTGACTGACTTTGCTAAACATGATGATCTTCAGTTCCACCCATTTTCCTGCAGACAACATAATTTCATTCTCCTTTATGATTGAACAATATTCCAGTGTAGTGTATGTGTGGGGAGCTGTTTCTACACCTTGGCTATTATGAGTAGTGCCACAGTGAATATGATTGTGCAAAGGCCTCTATTCCATCTTGAATTATCTTCCTTTAGATAAGATGCCCAAGCTTGGTATCACTGGATATTTTGGTACTTCTGTTTTTTGTTTTTTGAGAAACATATAAAGTGAATTCCATAGTGGCTCCATTCCTAGCAATAGTATATGAAGTTTTCTTTTTCTCTGTCTTGGCCAGCATTGATTGCTGTTGGTGTTTGTAATTTTGTTTTTGTTGTTGCTTATCTTAATGGTATCCGGGTTTAAACTTAGGACCTTCTACTTGTATAGCTGGAGACATACCTCCACACCAGTTTTTTTGCTGGTTATTTTGAGGTTGAAATTGCACACACTTCTCTGCATAGGTTTAATCCTGAGCCTCAATCCTGAGTCTCAGCCTTCTGATTACAGATGAATCACCAGTGCCTGGCTTCCATGTTTGTGTTCTTGTAGATGACCATTCTGACTGGAGTGAGTGAAATGTCAGTGATGTTTTGGTTTGTATTTCCTTTATGACCAAGGGTGTTGAGCATTTCTGCATGACCCAAAAATACTGCATATAGCTGTTAATGGCAATGAAGGTGCCAGGTCCAGGGTCAGGAGTACTGAGGAGCAGTTTGGGAGTGGCTGGGTTTGTTTGACATGATGTATTTCACAACTTACAAATCTTGCCTTATGCTTATCATTTGTCGTCTTCTTTGAAACCTGATCTGGATAACATCTCCTTGAAAATCAGCATCCTGGACACTCATTTGGTTCATGATGCTGTGTGGTGGGTCTTCCATTGGTTTCCACATATGCTTGTCACTTATTAGAGAGATGTTGGTCAAAGAATGCCCTTTCCAGTGCCTCCTCAGCTTTACCTGTACTATTCCTCCTTCCTCGATAACAAGATGCTAGACAAGAATGCTAATGTGTGAGAGACAATGCTATTTCCTTAAACTGCACTAGTGCTGAATGATTGGTTACAGTGGTGCAGAGGAGATGCAAATTTGCTGGTTTTCTGAATCTTTATGCTGTATATCTTTTTTGGGGGAGAGGGAGGTCCGGTGGTGGGCCTGAACTCTGGGCCTAGGTGCTGTCCCTCAGCTCTTCGCCTCAAGGCTAGCGCTCTACCACTTGAGCCACAGCACCACTTCTGGCTTTTTTTTTCCTTTTCTGCTTATGTGATGCTGTGGAATCGAACCCAGGGCCTCATGCATGCAAGGCAAGCGCTCTACCACTGAGCCACTTTCCCAGCCTGCTGTATATCTTAATTTGGTTATTTATTATCAAATTTAGGTACTTTTTTTTTCTGTTGGTCGTGGGGCTTGAACTCTGGGCCTGGGGCTGTCCCCCCTCAGCTCTTCAGCTCAAGGCTAATGCTCTACCACTTGAGCCACAGTACCACTTCCTGCTTTTTCTGCTTATGTGATGCTGAGGAATAGAACCCAGGGCCTTATGCATGCATGGCAAGCACTCTACCACTGAGCCACCTTTCCAGCCCCTGGTACATTTTTATTGTGAAACACAGTAAATGTTTTCACCCTTTATATCCTGCTACTTCTCGCTCAATTTCCTTATTTCTGAGCTTACCTCATATTTTCCCCTTACCCTACCTTTTCTGACATTCTGTTTTCCTTGAGTACCCTCTTCTTCTCAACTCCAGTCCAAAACACTGCCCATTCTTCAGTGCTACTTTCAAAGATTCTTTTTTAAAGTTTTCTTCATGTTTCCAGCTGAATGTGAAATCGTTATTTATCAAGGCAAATCACCCTCTAATTTCCTCAGTAATTTGTATTTCTTCTGTAGTTCAATGTTCAACTCTGTTTACCTAGGTAATTTCTAAAATGGTTTTCTTGTTGCACTATACATCACTGGCATCAAAAAGATAAGACTGAATTAGGAAAATCTAAAATCTTAGCTTCTTCCCATGGCATGGGCTGAACATTTAAGTTGTCCTTTAAGATTCTAGCCTTTGAAAACTATGAGTTGGGTATAGTGATGATGCCAAGACCCTCACAGAAGCAGTGATGGTCTTGGCTTTGACAATGAAATGTAGAAACGGTGCTGGTCAGATACTCCTGATTCTAGGGGAAGCTAATGTTTTCCCTGGGGCCCTAAGCAATTACATGCTAGGCAGAGGGGTGGGACATGAGTTTGGAACATCGTCTTTCTTGATACTTGGAACTAACCCATAATCCACACAAGGTAATCTCTGAAAGTTAACTATGTTTACTTAAAGCCACAAGAGAATATAATCTTTACCAGGTGGTTCACACCTGTAATCGTAGCTTACTCAGGAGTCTGAGATGGGAGGATCATGATTCAAATCCAGCCTTGGGCAGAAAAGTCCATGAGACTTTGATCTCCAATTTAAAAAAGTTCTGGAGTAGAGTTGTGACTCAAGTGTGGCAGAGCATTATCTATGAGCAAAACTGAATAAGGGCCCTGAGTTCATGTCCCGGTACCACAGAAACAACAACAGCAAAAAGCCCAAAGTCCTTCAAACAAGTTATTTACCTTTATAGGAGAGAGAGAGAGAGAGAGAGAGAGAGAGTGTGTGTGTGTGTGTGTGTTGAGATTAGTGGACCCAGCCAAGTGTCATATTCTTCCTAGCATGCTCACCCTTTTGTGATTGTGTGATGGACAAGAGGTGATGAATTTGCAAGTTTCTATACGTGTGAATTATTCTTCAAAAACAAAAGTCTTTCCTTTTCTTCCAGGAGTCCAGAGGCTTTGAAGTCACAAGAAGAGAAGGTAGGAAAATGCACTCATATCCATTTTATTCTCAGGGCTGACATTTTAGAAGGCAGTTTTGTGGAAACTAAGCTGAACTTCAGACTGTGGGCAGCCTGTTCTTTGAAATTTCGGGTGGCCTTTTCTGGTTGATGAGACTGCTTGACACTTGCCTCTAGAGACTTAGAAACTGAAGGCCAGGTTTGCTTGTGAAAAGCTAGGGTTTCTACCTTTGAGTATCGGAGGTGGGGGGCCTGGGGAGCTGGCTCATTTGCAATCATGTTTCATGGACTCTTAAGAGAGGCATTATTTTTGAGTGAAGGCTGAAGTAATTACTTGAATTTGCTGAGCAAAAAAACTACGTCGATAAGAACAAAAATGGTTTACAGTTTGAGAAATCTCAATATGGGAAAGGCGATGCCACTGTGAAAAATATTTCTGATTAAATTTTCACAGCTTCAGCTAAGCTGAAATAGAAATAACCAATTAATTTTCCCTTTGAAAACAATTCCGTAATGTTCTCTTTTCCCTGCCAGTATTCCTCCAGCACATTTGTTTTCTGGTCTCTCAGGTAAGCATACATGGTTGGTAATTTCAGAAACCTTCCAGTGGAAATTGAAATTTCTTTTATTTACTTTCAGCAATACCTAGTCTCTAATAAGACGATGTCTCCTATTTGATCTGTGGAATCACTGATAATCATCTCCTAATTGTAGGGATGTGAGGAAGAGTCAGCAGCTAAACTGAGTTCTTGCTTGAGGGGGTATTGTCTTCAAAAAGAATGATGGGGTAAAAATGGTATTGACTACTAAATCTAATAAATCTTTCCCTCCTCTTTGTTTTCTGTGTTATACAACATGATGAAAGGCTTGGATGGCCAGGTTATCATTTTGTATTTCTAGAGCATAGCATAGTGGTGGATTGCTCCGGTTGCTGCTGTCCACGGTGCTGAAATCTTAAATTCAAAAGACCTGAGTTTCTTACTCCAGGATGAACTTCCTAGCTTTCATTTCCACTTGCCATTGCCTTTGGTTTTTAGACACAAAGCCCTCTGTATTCATAGAGTGAACTACATTGTTTGGATATTAATACCAAATTAAACTGGATGAAGGTGAAGGGGACAAGGAAGAGTGTTGTTTTTTTTTTTTAATATTCAAAGTTGTATTTGCATGGGTACAGTGACCATGTAAGTTACAGAGAAATAGCCATAATGAGGAGAGAAGATGACATGAACTTTGGCTTTGAATAATATGCTATTCGTGTCAGTACACCTGAGTGTGAATGTTTGGAATTAGTTTGCATTAAAGAATCACATATAAACTTAACCTTTCTGAAATCATACTGTCCTTGTGCAGGCAATGTCTTTATGATTGGAGAACACATATAGTTTTATTCAAAGGTATAAAAAAATCGTGGTTATTTTACAGCTTCCTCAGAAGAATGAGTGCCCTTGTTCATCCATAGCTTCCTGTTCTCTGAGTAGCTGACTAGGAAGTAGTCAATTTGTCCTGACATCACACAGAATTTCTCCTCCTTTTGTGAAATGATGTCTTTTTTGCTTATTTCTGTCAAAGTCAAAATGTTTTATGTGTTTTGATCTCAACAGTTATAACCTGGCAGGCAAGTGGAAAGAAGAAAGGAAGGAAGGAAGGAAGGAAGGAAGGAAGGAAGGAAGGAAGGAAGGAAGGAAAGGACCTTACAGATTGGTTCCAAGTATTCTTGGGCGGGGGGGGAGTCTGAGAAATGTTCTGACATCATTATGGTGTTGTTAATCTCCAGAATAGTCTGAGTATAAAAATAAGAGAGACACTATGGATACTTGTGCAAATTATTATCCCCACACGTACAAATAGATCATGATTACCTAGCCATACACTCAGGCTGGCTGGTCCTTGCTCTAACTCACCCTGGAACTGACGACTGTGTTGTCATTTGGCATTCCATGCAGTGCCCTTTGCAAACCCTGCTTTAGGGAATGCTGCTCTATCCTCAGGTACGAGGACCTGTCTTTCTTGGACCATGCCTGACCGCAGTGGTGAGGCAGTGACAATGATAAGCACTTCTGGTTTGTTGCAAAGCTTTCAGAGAGCTCTCATGGTCCTCCTTTTTAGCTCTCAGTCTTCTGTGTCACACAAGCACAACAGACAGCCCTTTACCCATGAGCCTCCTTCCTTCCTTTACATATGAATTTCCCTCCACACCCTGCCACTATGATGCACTGAACCTCTCTCTGATGTGAGGTCATGGCTTTAAGAACCTGATCTGGCTTCATCACAGCCACGGACTTCTCTATATAATGTTGGCTGTCAAATCTAGTGAACCAAGAGGATTCCTTGGAAACAAAATTGCAGGGGGGGCTTGGTGTCCAAGGTAGACTTGTGGTAAAGACCCTCTCAGAGAAAGATATAGTAGCAGCGATTAAGATAGGATTCAAGTCCAATAGAATGTCTCCTGGTAAGGGCACATTCCCTCCTCAGGGAAATGAAGCCCTGTTCCTTCTGGGCCATCCTGCTACTAACCTTCCTCTCCTCATGCCCAGAACCCTGTCTGTGCTCAGGGAAGGAGAGCGATGGCTTCGTCTTGGTCTGCTTTTATAACACACAGGTATTTTTATACCTCTCTCTAGACACCTAAAATTTAATTTCAACCTTTTCTGAAGCTTCGGCAAGAGGTGCCAACTTCACCTCTCCCAGACACTCCCTTGTCCACTCTGAGGACCGGTGCTGATTGAGACTGCCAGAATCCATCGACTCAAACCAGTACTTTTCTCTGACTGATCCCATCACATTGAATTATAGCTGTGAGAGAACACTCGAGTGAGCTGCCACAAGAGCCTGGGATAATTCCGCCCTTGTCGGCCATCTCTAAAGGAGCAGGGGGTGATCTGTAAACTACTCCAGATGTCTGTGATTGTGCTTGTGATTAGGGGCTTCGGGATTTGGGATGGGCACAAACGTCACATTACATTACTCACCCTCCCAAAGTTGGCTCATTCTCTTGTGTGTTCCAGCCCAGCCCAGCCTGGCCTGGCTTCCAGCAAGACTGTAAGGGAGACTAGGAGAGGAAAGACGCTGCTGTCTTCAGGGAAAGGAAAAAAATGGACTGACAGTCACACACAGGCTGGGTGTCTCCTCGCTCCGGCTGCTTGGCAATGCAAATCTGCTACATAAACACGACCTGCCAGTCCTGAGGGCGAAGCCAGAGCCTCACTTCCCCAAAACCCTGGGAATGAGTTTCTAATTGGCAGCTGCCTCTAATAGCACCCTTTATAGTTCTCTGCATCTGGATGAACTTCAACTATCAGAACCATGTTCTGTTTACCGTTCATTTAGATTTGGTTTAGCAGATGTTCTGTGGATCTCTCAGTTGCCTGCATAATCTATCTCAGTATAATGTGAAGTGGCTGACTCTCTTGGAAGAAACAGATTAATACACTCCCAGGTTCTTTCGAGGTAACTTCTTCAATGGCTGCAGATGGAGGAAATTTCAAAGGAAGCCATACAGATTTGATAGTGCCTGGGGCAGTGAATCCTTTTCCATTCCATGCTTCCATCTGGGGAAAGAGATGGGACTTCTCCCCAGCCCACACCCTCACTCCCAGATAGTGCAATGTCGCTGGTTCCTCTGCACTCATTCGGCTTAAGGAAACAGAGTAGTTTCTGTCTCTTTATACTCCTAATCTCACAGACATTGGCTGTTCTGGAGAGTGATGCCTTTTTTATTAGCTAATGTCCCTAGATGCCCCAAGGTGAATGGGAAAGGGAGGTGTGGTGAGCTGGGGTGTTTTGCTCTGTGTGTGTGTGTGTGTGTGTGTGTGTGTGTGTGTGTGTGTGTGTGTGTGTGTGTGTGTGTGTGTGTGTGTGTGT